TCAGAGTGTACTGTACTTCAGAGCAATAGCCACCACTGTCCTGGCACGTGACAGGCGGTGACTGAGGGCAATGGGGCCGAGGAGCTTGCACACAGGTTTTCAAAATGTGGGAGCTACATGGACACATTGGTGAGGTCATGGAAGCATCACCACCGTGCTCTTGGGGGACCTGAAGGAAAAGCACCGTGAGAAGGGGCCATGATCTGAGCCATGTGGATTAATGTTGCCAAAATCCTTTCCATGTCCTTTTACTGCAGTTATCCAAGACAACATTGGTTTCCTCTCTTCACATGATGGAATTGTTATTTAGGGAAATCTGTTTGAGAAAGAATGAGACTTAGGTAGAAAATGTCACTAGGTTTTAGAATTAGATCAGGAAGAAAAAGAGCTACAAACTTCCTGGAAATTAGCCATTGGAAGGAGCTGTGTTTGCAGTTGGAAGATTAAGCATTTGCTGATACCTTGTAGATGACGAAGGATCAGGAAAAGCTTAGTTAAGTGACTGTCTAGGGCAGTCTGCTCTCCTGTACACCTTCCTTCTGAGGCTGGGATGGAAGGGCAACACCTTCAGAGCGAAAGATCAGATTTTAACACAAAACTGGCTACCAACTGTAGATGTAGTAAGAATCAAGGCTATTTTATGCTTCCTGTTACCAGTTTGTTAGGTTTGTATTGTTTATTCCAAAATCATTAAAGTTGTAAATCAGATTTCTTTGCAGGAAAAACAGGAAGGTCATCAGATGATTACAGAATTTCTAGGAGTAGGAGATTGAACATTTCCTTACATTTAAACAAATGTGTTCCAAAATGTGTTTACTACTTTAAATCAATTCTAGGTGATCCCCATCCCCACCCCCCAACCATTTTCTTTCTTAGGAAGATAATTTGTCTAAAGCCACAACTCGTGATGGGTTTCCAGGGAATCTTTCAGTTTGGCCATAAGGTTTACACAAGGGATCTGGGAGTTTTAGGGACAGAGTGTAGGAGGGGAAATTTCTTCTCAAAAGAGACCTGGCCACAAATGGTAAGTTTTCGGTATTTTTTGCTCTGTTTTGTTTTGTTTTAGTAAAAAATTGTGGTTATGCACTAAGGAAATTGTGTCAACAAAGGAGGAAATAATTATACCATTTATGTAGCAAAAAATTAAAATTAATGTTAGATATTTTTCCTGTGGAATTTATCTTCTGCATGCTTTCTTTTTTTTAAAGATTTTTTTTTTATTTATTTGAGAGAGAGAGAGAGAATGAGAGATAGAAAGCACGAGAGGGAAGAGGGTCAGAGGGAGAAGCAGACTCCCTGCTGAGCAGGGAGTCCGGTGTGGGACTTGATCCCGGGACTCCAGGATCATGACCTGAGCCAAAGGCAGTCACTTAACCAACTGAGCCACCCAGGCACCCTATCTTCTGCATGCTTTCAATTTAAAAGGAATCTCCTTAATGGTTTTGTGCATTGCTGTTGGGTTGCTATCAGGAATTGATTTCTATTTTGCTCAGTTCATTACAATGACTTATGGATTCAGTAACCTCCAAATTTTTTACCCACTTAACTGATTTCTTGTGGACTAGGGCAACTGTTTTATCCCTAACTTATTTTTGCTTTATTTTGTAAATGATCCTAAAGTTCCTCAGATTAGTACAGTTACTTGTAACATGGGTGTTTGACATGTCATTCCAATCAATTGGAAGTAGAATTCATATATATGTTCATGTGTATGAGTCTTTTTATTCACACTAAACTCTACCAGGACAAGGAGTTTATAGCCTCCTTCCCTACTCTTAATTTGCTCTACTGTTATATTCTCAGCCCCCAGAAAAAAGCCTGGCATATACATACTATATGTTCAGTCAATATTTATTTAATGAATGAAAGAAAGAACAAATAAATGACCAAACTTCAAGAGACTCAAAAATTTTCTAAGATACAGATGTAAGACTTATTACATTTAACTTACAAATGTAATTTGAAAGGGGACTGATTTGTAGACATCTACACTCCCAGCTATGGCATCACATGTGTGGTGGGTTCTGTGAAATCCATAACACCCCTGGGCAACAACCCCCCACCCCGATACCTCCACCCGGAGTCTCAGTCTCAACATGACCCAGACCGAACTGTGCACTCAGTACCATCCATTGCAAATTTGTGTTGTCTGTCTCTGTGAATGGCACCATCTATCTCCTCCTGATCACACCTCCTTGTTTGGTTGATCCTGGTCAACCCCATGCTATCTCTATCATTCTACCCCTCTCCATCCTCACTGTTCCTGCCTTTGTTCAGGTCACTAACACCCTCCACCATCTTGGTGACATCATGCTTTGATACACTCTCCTGCGACTCTCATTGGGGTTTAGGGAATTTTCCTAAATGCCATTTAACCACATCACTGTCACATTCAAAATCCTTCCCTTACCGGAAAAACAAGACAGTTCTTCAGTGTGGCCCACATCGTAGGGGTTTACCGATTAACTACTGCTGCCTTGTCTCCTTTCTGCCTTTGGCACCCAAACCTTAGTACCCACTTGTCTCGTGGAACACGTTTCTGTTCATCCATCTTAACATTAACTTTCTATATGCTCTACTGTGTGGTAAGGCAAATACTCTCTTCATTACTATCTAGCAAAGATATGTAGGATCTTATGCTTTTATTTTTTAAGATAAAATTTAAAATAAATTTTTCAAATCCACCTGGATTTGAACTAGGAGGCTGGTACTCAGAATGCACCCCATTGACCTCCATCCAGACATGTGGCTCTGCTAAGGAGTGGACCCCGGGTCACTGTCCTAAACCCAAGCACTCCTGCAGCCAGCCGCTCAATAGGCCAGTGTCAGTGACTATCTATTGAATATCATCCAGTCCCATGTATGTCACCGCATTTTGCAGACGCACACTTCTGTGCGTGTGGTGTTTCTTCAGTGTGTGTCTTGTGCTTGGCAGGTTGAACCCATTTCACTTGCTTTCTTTTTGAAGGATTTTAAAACTTCTCTTCCAAAGTTGGATCTTTTTGCCATTTTCTGGCATGAGAATGGATTTACATGTCTTTTTGTAACCCCTATTTTTAAACATTTTAAGTGTTTTGGAAATAGGAACTAAAAGTTTATGCTCTCTGCCACCTTGATGTAATCTAGATTTCTATAAACATCATGATTTAACCGATTTTCCTGACTCCATTTTGCATTGTGTTCTTGGTCAGTAAGAGATGATTTGAAATAAGCCTATTTCTGTCTTTCTTCTCATCCCCTGCCCCGCCCCCAGGTTTTGGTGAGGTAATATAGAATGTGATTCTTCAATTATTAACTCTTTTTTTCTGAAATATTAAACAAATGTGTTAAATTTTACAAATACATTTTAAACAATTATTTAAAGTTAAATATATCTTTATAACATACTTTGATATTGGTATTTCTTACATCATTTCTTGGGTGTTTCACTCAGGTTAATTTTCAGTTTTACTCAGACAACTGGTTTCATGAAAAGACTATGTGGCATATTCTTTGAGGTTTTGAGTGTTCAAATATAGATTAATTTTGGCCTTATCAGAGAATGATAACTTGCCTGATTAAAAAACTTTGGGATGATAAGATCAGAATTGTGAAGTATTTCCCCACAGCCTTACATGTGATGTATCTGAAGCCAGTGCCATGCTTCTTTGAAAGTAGCCAGTATTTTGTCTGAAACTTTGTAAGATTTTTCTTTACCCCTAGAATTCAGAAATAGTACCAAGACAAGAGGGGGTGTGGGCCTTTTCTAATAATTGGTCACTATTCTGTGAGTCCTCTCTATAGGAGAAGTCAGGGTTTTAGGTTGGTTTTAGGTTTAGGTTTTGTTTTCTCTGAGGGACTTCTGTCTTTGAAATCTTTGTGCCTGGTAAATGTCTTGGCAGCAGGTGGGTTCTGATGCAATGTCAGTTGGATGAATCCAGGAAAACCAAACAAAGCAGCAGTATTCCAGCTGGCTTCAGTCTGCACTGGCCAGCATCCATGAGGGGAAGAAAAATAAAGACTCCACATGGTAATTAAGTCTCCCAGCAACACGCCAGGCTGCGAGCATTCCTTCCCTGCTCCAGTGGAACTCCTCTCGGTGAGACACCAGCCACGGGCACCAGTGCTCCCAGACCATGAGCTGAGCGCCCTTCACACCCAGAGTGAGGCTTGCCCTTGGATTTCTAGACTAATTGGGCGTGGGGGGTCCAAGGCCCCCGTGTGTCCCCTCCAGACCACTCATTCCACTCGAGTGAGAATTACCTGTCTCCCTGCTGCCAGGGCAAGCCCACCCTCGGACCCCTTCAACAGTGGCAGGTGGTCTGATGGTGGAAGCTGGGCACAAGGGACTTTCCTTAGATTATCAGGCCTCCTGTATTGCTATGGATGCCCTTGTCATGGTGCTGGTACAGCTGCTCCCCAGATGCCCCATGTCTTCTGACACTGGCTTGAGAGGAATTGAATGAAGAGACAGAGGGGGTGAGGGAAGGGAGAGAAGGCAGGGGAGCAAGAGGGGGCAAAGCAGTCTCAAGAGGGAAAAATGGGGGTAAATAGAGGGTGAGGTTGTGGGGGGACCACAGAGAGGGAGAAAGAGCTGCAGCAGCTGCAGGACGAGGGACTGCTGGAAAGGCCATGGGCGCCGTGGTGTGCACCTTCCATCCCCTCTCTTTAAAGAAGAGGACACTGAGAACCCAAGTGTGGACCTGATTCCTCCAAGGCCAGAAGGATCTCCGTTTTCCCGCTGGCCCAGACTGAAGCCAGGAACCCTCTGACAGAGGGTGTGCATAGGGGCAGTCGGGGGGTGCAGGGAGACAATGTGGAAGCTGGAGAGTGGCAGAGAAGGAGAGGAAGTGAGAGCCCCATGGGGCTGCCCTGAGGAGGCAGGACGGTTTCTCTGATAGGGAAGTGGGCAGAGAGGGAGGTCTGCCTGTCTGCGGCAGGGGGAGTCAGATGAGAGCAGGAGGGTTTGGAGGGCAGTGATCTGAATCCTGTTGAGGCATCCTTCATCTGACTGAGCCGCAATGCTGCTCCTGTTGCTGCTGCTCTTCGAAGGATGTCTCCAGTGTGGAGCAAGCCTAGATGGTAGGACAAGCCCTGGGAAGACTTCTGATGCTGGGCACAGCGGGGTGAGGTTCTGGGAGGACCTGCAGGAGGGAGTACTACTCCCATAGGATGCCCTTGGAGTCTGCATGCCAGGCTGGTTCCAGGCAAAACATCTTGCCACAGCTCATTTTCTGTTTCTAGTTTTGGGGAGAGGAAGCGGGCCCGGAGAGCAAGGTGGGCTACGGGAATGTGTGCAGTCTGTGTAACTGTCTCCATGGTTCCTCGCCCATGCTCACGTACTCTCTCCATGTGGCCTGGCCTCTCAGCACCCCAGGTCCCAGGACCCCCTGATCCAGACACAGAAGAGGCCCTCTCCTTCCGCATCCTCCACACCTCCTCGTTTGCCAACAGCAGCTGGGCGTCCTCGGAAGGTTCGGGCTGGCTGGGCGATCTGCAGACTCATGGCTGGGACAAGGTCCTGGGCACCATCAGCTTCCTGCGGCCCTGGTCCCAGGGGAATTTCAGCTCCGAGGATCTGAAGACCCTGAAAAATCTGTTCCTACTCTACTTCCACGGCTTCGTCATCGAGGTGCAGGCCTTTGCGCACCAGTTTCAGTTTGAATGTGAGTTCCTTGCTCCACGCCAATCTCTGCCTGAAGGCTCCAATTTGCTTCCAAAGGGGCTCTGACCTCACCCAGCCTTTCTGGACTATTCCCTGTCCCCCTCGGGCTCCTGCTCTCTCTCCTGCCTCACGATTCACCACCGTCCCCACTCCACCCACCCACCCACCCTAGTCACAGATAGGCTGGCAAGGACACATCCCTCCACACTGCCATATACACTTTCGTGTTCTGGCTCCCTGCAATAGTGTCTCCCTGTGATCTTCTGCCCACCACCCCTGGCCCCAGACATGGCCTCTCCAGCCAGGATTCTGCCCTCCCTTCTCCTGGCCTGAGAGTCTACCAGGCCCACCTGTACCTAACCATTCCCAAGTGAGCCCTTCCAACCGGGTCCTCAACTTCCCAACGCCTTCCCATCTAGCCCCTCCCCATCAATTATTTCTAAATACGTTCTTATCTTCACATTTTCTTCCCACAAATTCCCTCCCCTCCCCCACCCAACTCCAGCAAGCTGTGTGATTCCAGAGCAAATCTAGACTGCTTACTTTCCTTCCCTGTAATTGTTTCCACATGGCTTCTGTCCACCCCCAGACCCCTTCGAGCTCCAGGTGTCAGCTGGCTGTACAGAACATGCTGGGAAGGCCTCAGGAAGCTTCCTGAATGGGGCTTATCAAGGCTCAGATTTTCTGAGTTTCCAAGGAAACTCCTGGCAGCCATCTCCAGGAGCTGGAAGTCGGGCTCAGAAGGTCTGTGCGGTGCTCAACAACTACCTAGATATTAAGGAAATTGTGCAGACCCTTCTCAGCCACACCTGCCCTCAGTTTCTGGCAGGAATCCTTGAAGCAGGGAAGTCAGAACTGGAACGACAAGGTGAGTTTTCCCAGTGCTTTAAGCTTCATATTCCACTCTTTACCATCCCTTTGAAACATACGCCGAGAGGCTAGAGGGTGGGATATGTGGGTTTAGGACTGTTCCTTAGACGAGAGAAAGAAGTGATTACTCCAACTGCTAAGACCCCCGAGTCACTGAGCTTGGTCCCAGGTGCCCCTAAGTGCCTTGTCTCCTCATCTTCTCTCCAGTGAAGCCTGAGGCTTGGGTGTCTAAAGGCCCCAGTCCTGGTCCTGGCCGTCTGCTGCTGGTGTGCCACGTCTCCGGCTTCCACCCAAAGCCTGTGTGGGTGATGTGGATGCGGGGTGAGCAGGAGCAGCGGGGCACCCAGCGAGGCGACGTCCTGCCCCATGCTGATGAGACGTGGTATCTCCGAGTGACGCTGGACGTGGCGGCCCGGGAGGCAGCCGGCCTGTCCTGCCGAGTGAAGCACAGCAGTCTGGGAGGCCAGGACATAATCATCCACTGGGGTGAGAAAGAGCTGGAGTTTGGCCAGGAAGCAACAGTCCTGGGGCTGCTGAGGGAGGTGCTTGGGAGGTGGGTGGGAACACTAGGCACAAGCGGATGGAGGCGGGAGGATCCAAACGAGGAAGGGCAGAGAATGATCACTGTTAAATTTCAAGAAATGGGAGGAAGGGATTGGAGTACTAAAGAGAAAAGGAAGAAGGATCTGGTGATTTGGGTAAGAGACGGGGTGGGGGATTGGGGACACAGACTCAGAAGGAATTGAGATGAAGTCTTCAGAACACGCAGATGAAAATTCTAGGAAGGAGAAGCGTTGATGGTGGTGGCGGCACGGAGAGCCTTGTAGACTGACATCCTTGGTTTATGCCCAAGGAGGTGGAAACTCAGTCCTGCTGACACTGCTCTGTCTGGTGGTGATAATTACCCTGCTCCTGCTACTTGTAGGGCACTCCTGCTTTAAAAAGCACAGGTGAGCCTCTTCTTGTTCTGTTTCTTCAATTTCTTATCAACTCATTCTTCTTTCCTCCACCCTCCCCGTTCTCTCTGATTTCCCTTCCTTGGGATGAAAATCTTCTTCTTTTCCCACAGCTCAAATTGGAAGGCCCTGGCGCCCCCTGCCCCCAGTCCTGACTCCCCCATAGGGACCGACGCCCAGGGACCCAGGACTCCTGGACACCAGCTCTACATGCCACAGGAATCGTGGATCAAGAATAGATTTTTAGAGAAATGGAAAACAAGCTTAAACCAACTCTGGCAACATTAGTTTTACCTCACAAACAAAATCCTTTTCTGCTTCTTAAACATGGTTTATACCTATAAACAAAGCATAATTTTGACAAAATGGCTTGTTGTGGCAGAAATCTTGACCCCTTTGGAAACTTGTTTTATTTTTCCCCCATCTTCTAGCAATATCTTTTCTGCTTTGGCCACATGTTCATTGCTGCTGATCCTTCAGACTCTAATTCAGATGCTTCTTTGTCATGGAATCTTCCCTGCCTTGCCCAACTGAAAGCTCTTCTGTACTTCCAAAATTGAATGGATCATCCTAAATACGTTCATCTCTTCCTACTCTGAACAGTGGTTTTTCAGATTTTTGTTTTTCTGTTTTTTTCTCAGTTGCTTGAAAGCAGGATGTAAGTGTTTATAATGGCACTTATGACCCAAACAAAGCCTGACCTGGATTCAGGGCCAGCTTCATGGGCATGTCATCTATGCAGTGCTTGCTGTCTTGAAATCCTTAATAAAACTTGGAGATACTGGGAGGCCTGGGTGGCTCAGTTGGTTAAGCGACTGCCTTCAGCTCAGGTCATGATCCTGGAGTCCCAGGATCGAGTCCCGCATCCGGCTCCCTGCTCAGCGGGGAGTCTGCTTCTCCCTCTGACCCTCCTCAGTCTCATGTGCTCTCTCTCTCTCTCTCTCTCATTCAAATAAATAAATAAATAAATAAATCTTTAAAAAAAAATAAAACTTGGAGATACTGTATTTTCATTCTGGACTCACCCCACAAAATATGTAGCTGGTTCAGCATAAAGTGTTTCTCATTAAATTCTGCCTGAAATAAATTTTTGTCAAATCAAGTGATGTTTTCTTAATCCACTCCCCTTTGACATCACTGCATCATCTGACTGTGTTCTTATTAAAACCCTTTCTGTCTCCCTGTGTCTCTAACCAGAGGTTGGGGGAGGGGTAGGTGAGTGCTTCAGACTGCACAGTGATTGGGGTGTCTCTGTGTTTTCAGAGACATTTCAAGAAAATAATAATACAGGAGATGTCTCCCATCAGAGTGAGGACTGAGCATTCCCAGTTCTCTGAGATTGTGTGTGACCACATTTGTCTTCACGTGGCAGGTACTCAGGGAAGAAATTCCTACTTTGAGTGGTCAGGAAGAGGACATGGGGACAAAGGATGGGCAGAGCCAAGGTAGCGAAGGAAAAGAGTGCTTAGATGCTATGTGTTTACTTTTCTCTATTGGTTCAGTTTATTATTATTATTATTAGCATTATTATTTACAGTTTTTCTCTAACTTTTTAAAATATGGATTTTAAAATTATCTACTTAACCTTGAGACACATTGACTGAGACTGTTGGAGAGTGGGAAGCCGTTAAGGTGTAGAGTTCATGCAGATGTCTAGCTGACACCTCCCCTTAGGCAGGATAATTCAGCAGACTGCAGATTTCTTAGTGGAAATGCATCACTCTTTATATTCATCATTTTCAAGTTAAGACACAGGGCTCCATGACCCCTTACCCAGGCCATAGACTTACCCATGAATAAGGTATTGGGGTCAGGCTTCCCCTACCGAGTCCATCACCTTCCGCGTGACATGTTCAGACTGCTTATATAGAAGAGTCCAGGGAGGAAGGCAGGACTTTACAGGGCTGTTTGAAGCCCTCTATGATGAAGTTCAAGGTCCCCTCACGTGGCACAAGGCCACAGGCGGTGACCTCTATCAAAATGAAGAGACTCACATAAGGACTTCTCAGTTCCTAGCACAAGTGTGTGATGCAAATACATTTCGGGTGTTTCCCGTTTGGGTGGACTTCTCCCCACTAGTCTAATTTTTTGGTCACAATAATTCTCTAACCCCTAAGATGCCTCAATCTCCGTTCTCAGGTTCCATGTCCAACCTTCTTCCACCCCCACTCTGTGTTGTGCTTCTGTGATGCTAGGCTTTCTGTCCTTCAGTTGTGCCAAGCTTCTTCTCAGCGCGAGGCCTTTATTTTAACTCTTCCCTCCACCCAGGGCCATTCTTCATTTACCTTGGTCTCCCACGGATGATTTCAGGACAACCTTCAGCTCCTCAGCTCAAGCATCATCCTCATAGAGAGGCCCTTTGTGGTCAGTGTAACCAAAGTGGCCAGTCTCCCTCAGTCACATTCTATTCCAATGTTCTTTAGTTATTTGTGTTGAATACTGGATTAAGCTGAAATTATCTCATTTGCTTTTATGTAGTTAATGCCCTTTTCACCTACAATGTAGACACGGTGGCATCATGTATATTATCTGTCTTGATCACATGTGTATCCCAGCGTGTAAATTGTAGCTGGACATATAGTGGGTGACTAAAATTATGTTTGGTGAATGAACAAATGCCATCAACTTCGACTTTTCAGAAAAGATCTTAGAGATCCCAATTCTCTAGTAAGCCATTGGTTTTCAGGAACTGACATGTTTCCAAAGTGCTGGTGTCACTGAAGGACATAAGTGGATCATTGATATTGTGGCAGTATGGTCACTGGTGGCTCTCTCTTTCCTTCAGGTTATTGTCTTTATAAGTGTGGCAAGAGCCTAAGATGCAGATAGGAAGGAAGGTAGGAGGGAGGAGATCTCAGAAGATCTTGTCAGAGTCCTTTATATTGTGAGTGAGGAGTCCAGTTAACCACAAAGTCCTGCTCCTGGTTTCTCTGCTGCTGAATTGTACTGATCCTCAGAGAATCTTTCAGGGAAGGATGATTGTTGAATACAGAGATTTTCAGGAAACTTTGGGTTCCTAAACATGATACCCTAACACATCCTAGCTCTACTCTGACAAGGTCCTGTAGTTGAGTAGTGGGTGTATGTTTGGGTGAGGCACAAGATATACACCGAAGGAGATGGACCTGGGCTGCCTACACATATGCATCCTCTCCCCCACCCCCCAAAAATTGGCATAAATGGGCTCAGAGAGAGCCCCAAGGGTAAATGACTATGTTGCCAGATATGCCACCTTAACAGGGTTTGGGGAAGTTTTACATATTGCTTCAGGAGACTGTCAGAAAACCTGTGTCATCCCCATGGTGTAGACCTTCATTCTGGGTAATCTAATGTATTTTAAGCTCCTGGGTGAGGACCTAGTATTTAAGAGCAAAGTGTGTCACCTTATCACCCCCGAAGAGAGGTGTCATCTATTACTGTTAACTGTGTAATTCTGGCTGAACCCCTGGAACATGGACTTATTTCTCTGGGGGGCCAGGTGTTCTCAGTAGTGAGGGATAACCCTCTCCAGTCCTGCCAGCTGTAACACCAAGAAGGGGAGATGCTTTGCTGCTAGTACAAACCTGGAACCCACTGTATTTTGTTGTGTGCACAAATGTGGTAGAAATATTACGAGATAATTTGGAAGCAGAGATGGAGGCACGATTCTTGGTTGTGGGTGAATTCTCCAGGAGTAGCAGTGATTGTTGGAGGAGGCTGCAGTAGGACTGGTGGGATCAGTCGGGATGTGCTGGGCCAAGCTCAGCAGCCAAAGGCCCTCGGCCAACCATGGCTGAGAGAATATGCCCGTCTGCCGTCTACCTAAGAAACGAAGAAAGCCGAGGATGTGGACAACTTGGTTAAGTGGAGCCCCCATCAACTGGGACAGGGTCCAGGCTCCTGGAATGTCACTTGCTGGTGAAGAAAGATATCTATGCAGAACATGCTCTGGAGCCTGTGTTCAGTTGGGGTAGGAGGTGTCATGATCCCAGAGTTGTAGGATCGAGCCCCATGTTGGGCTCCACACTCAGTGTGGAGTCTGCTTTGGATTCTCTCTCTCTCCCCCTTCTGCCCCTCCCCATTCTCTTGCACGCGCTTTCTCTTTCAAATAAATAAATAAATAAATAAATAAATAAATAAATAAATAGGAGAAGTACCTATTTTATGGTATGGTTACACCTGATTAAATACTAATAAACATTCAAATGGAGCCTGCTGTACAGAAGACACTCTCCTACATGCTTTATACATATTAACTCATGTGATCCTCAGAACAATTGTGAGGCAAACATCATTATTCCCATTTTATAGATGAGGATACAAAGGTCACATAACTAGTAAGCACTGTAAGCAGTTTTGCTTCCAAACCCATGCTTAACCATTACATTACACACTCAACAAATAATTATTGGAAGCCCTACCTTGTGACAGGTAATGAAATGCAGTAGAGGCACAAGGTGAAATCCCTTACGCACTGAACTTCCATGACAATGGAGTACATAGTGGGGAACATGGTAGGAGGTGGAGCCTGTGAGTTGGGGTCAGATCCTAAAGGGGCTTCACAGGGCACTGCACATGGACTGAAAGTCATTGGAGAATTTGGAATAAATGAATAGCAGCTATTGGTAAAAGGAGATGAGCTCTCAAGCACACATGCTCTCTGACCTCACCACTGGAGGACTACAAAATGGGATGCAATTGCATGCCCACTCACACCACAGTGACCCTGGTCTGCTTCTCTGCACTGACACTAACTGAAAGTCTGCCTCGGCGATGCTCACAAACCAGTTTGCAGCAGTGCTTACCAAGTACACCTGACTAGTTTTTCCTCTCCAGGTCACGTCCCCATTTGCCACCTCTCTGCTGCCCACAGGGTTACCTGGAGCAGCTTCAGGACCTCCATTCCTGCTGGTACCCAAAGTTTCCCACCAGTTCTCAGGTGCCTGCATGGAGGGATGCTCCATGTGGAGGCGGGGGATATGGCTTCTTCCCCTGTTGTTTGTCTCAGGTGGCACCCAGTTCCAGAAGCTGCCTTGCTTGTGTTTAATCTCCTAAAGCCTCTTGTGTACAACAACGTCAGCTCTGGCTCTCACCCATGTCTTGGGATTTGATAAAGACTCTCTTCACAGCTTTTTCTTCAGTGTCCTTCAGCTGTCCATATTAGTTAGTAACATCATCACAGGACATGAAATGCTACAGGGTGCAGTGGATTCACATAAACTCAGTTATTTATGTTTTCTTCTAGAATAAAAATGGAGGAAGGAAAGACTAAGAATAAAAGTATGAATAAAGACAAGGATTAAAGAAAG